AGTTCTGGGAAGCGGAACCAGATTCTTTTCTGGTTGTGCATCTGCAAAAGGATTATTACCTAAATCAACACATACAATTTCTGTTTGTGTGGCAGAGGAGCCAAAAAGAACCTGACTGGATGAACAGTCGGAACAATTTATTTTTATTTATGAAAAGAGCAGATCTGGACTAACAGGAAAGACATGAAGATCTACACATCACTCTCTCAAAGTCACATTTTATAGCAAGAGAGATTATATCCAACATCTTTCCGCAGTATTCCTCATAATATCACTTGAATGCAAAGGAAACTTGGTAACAGAAGTTTGCTAACAGCAAAACCCACTGATTTTTCCAACAGGGGAATGCCACCCAAGCTAATATATGTGTATTCATCCTGTAGACAGCTGAGCCCAGCAAATAGTTTTTGCTCCCTGGTCTGCCCTGAGTTGCTCCGCAGGATTTTACTATTGAATTGGATTATTGCATCGCTTCCTTCCCTGCCAGTGGCACTGCTTGTGGGGGACCACTCCCTAATGTGCAAAATAAAAAGAACCAAATTATCAAAGTCCTGTTGTTTAATCTATTAAAAGTAATGCAACTCATTTTGAGACACATGGCTTATGAAGTACTTGCTCATACATGCAGCTGGGGCAAGCTAGAGTTGGTAGCCCCCTTCACCAGTACAGCTGGGGATCTGGAAGAGGACATCTGCCCATGCATGATCTACTTCAGGATGCTTTTACAGTGGAGTATCTGCCTATACCTGTGTTATTCTCAAGTCTTCTTGTGGAAGTAGATTTTAAAAGAAAGAGAATCACCATAGGAGTGGCAGAGCATTTCAGAGATGCCAGTTTCCCAAGGAGGGCAGTTCCAGAGAATAGAAACGCTAAGGAAGTTGCAGTGTGTTTATACATGATCCAGTTACTTAAAACAAATTATCAGCAGAAAAAAAAAAAAAAGGGCAATATCCCAAGGCAACAGAAAGGAAATCAAGTGTATCAAAGCTGTTCCTGAACTCCCATTACCTAGCCACTTGGCAACGCTGACTTTTAAAATTATACTACACCATTCATTTTTACTCTCATGATGCAAGGAGAGAAGGAAGAAAAAACTCCCCCACTTTACCCCCCTCTTTTTATTAAAATATCTTAAAAACAGATCTGTATTGTTACTTCAAGGTTACTAATGTTAGTTCTGTATATATTTATAGATGAGGTATTCCTTTCTGTCTGAAGCACATGAGGTAATAAGTAGCTGGAATTGTCACGGTGATTTATTAACATATTCTCTAAGAGAAGCCCTGCACCTGCGTCTGTGCAGACCGAACACCCACGAAGGCTGAACTCACCCTTACACAGCCCACAAGATCTTAAAAGGAAATGCTCCAAATTTAGACCTGCTCCAACAGGTGTCTTTTACTGTCTCACTTTGCATGACCATAAATATCAGAGGTGGAGCAGAAAGCTCCCTGTCCATTGTCACCATGCTTTGAAAACAAATACCTTTGCCCCCTCCAAAGGCAAAGACGGCAGCTATGGAATTCTCATCATTTCCTCACTCCTTCATCCTGTCAAGGTCCAAGTCAGAGAGATGTCACTGGCAAAACCAGGCTCCAGGGATGAGCACGTAACTTTATTTTTTTCTCTTCAAAGGGCCCCAAGCTGGCGCTGAAACTTCCCCAAACTGTATTTCTTTCATTCTGATATCTCATCTTGCAGCTATTTGCCAAAGTGAATGACATGCACAGGCTGTTCATGGCTTTTTTATAAGCTCTCATTACCCAAACAGGGAACCATTTCCTTGAAAATGCTTTCGCCAGCAGCATTAGTCTCTCTAGGCACCACCAATAAATTTGTCTCCTGGCCCATCATGATGCACACCAAAACGTGCTTGGATGGATGTACTTGATACTGGTTTGCACTTGTTTACTGGAGGGAGGACGCTACCTGTGGGACCTGTCATCAGGGTGATTAACAGCACAGGAGAAAAGAAAAGGATAATCTTAACAGCTGAATGGGAAGCTTTGCCAGATTTGCTTTGGCAAGCAAAGGAGCAAAATGAGGCTCTTTTCTGTGTGTGGTGTAACACGGAGAGACATTCTCCAAACCAAAATGGCTATCCATGACTCACAAACCCCCAAACCAAATCAAAACAACAAATCTGGAAAAGAACTCCTAACCAAACTGAGAAAAAGAATAACAGGTTACACCAGGAACTTGGAAATCCTATTAAAATGTTTCAGTCTGTAACACTTTCGTTACTACAAAAATGCCCGAGTCAAGAGCAAATAAATATTTAATACTCAACAGGTACTCAGAAGAATGTGTGTTTTCCCTTGTCCCTCTCTACCAGCTGCTCTTTTATGGCAGGAAAGTGAAGAGCGTGAAATCCAATGATAGGAAGATGGCAAAGGTCAGGAAAAAGGTTTTTCTTCAAGGATTTAAATTAGCGTACTACAGCTTTGGCTGTTTTGTCAACATAACTTCCCTCCTGTGAGGAGGGGAAGCCAAAGGTCCTTTGAAACATTTCTGTATGGGATCTAGATTTTTACCAGCTTTAAAGATTCCTAGCTTTAAAGAAAAGACCATCCTCCCTCTTCCTATTCCCTTCACCACTCCCTGCCTGTCCCTCCTTTCACCCCCGTCTTTAAAAAGGGAGAGAAAAAAAGAAGAAAAGGAAAACGGAAAAAGCATCTGAAGAGCAAAACAAGCACCAAAGGAGTTCTAGAGTTCATGTAACAAGACCACTATAGCCCTTCAAAAGGGCCATTAAAAGCAAAACGAGCAAAAGCAACACCCTCAAGATGCCTATTGTATTTTAGAGAGGAACATATGAGTGTACTGGAAATTCTCCCATTCCACCACAAAGTCTGTTATTTCATCAAAACAAAGTCCAGAGATCAAGAAAGGACCAACATGGTAGCTGAAAGTCAGTCACTTCAAGTGATCCATGAAGAAAACGAGACTGGGCTTGCTCTTCTTTTTACCTCCCCTTGCTTTACTATCTTGTATTAAAATAAAGAAAAAAAGACTTCAAAGATTGTTTCAAGCGTCGCTTTTGTTTCTCACATGAGAAAGTCAGGGCTTGAGCAGGTCTAGACAACACAGTGGTTAAAACATCATCAGCTGCCAACACTTTGTCTTCCTAGAGCTCCCACAGTTGTTGCTATGCTGAACTGCCGCATTTGAAAATATCTGACAACTTCCATGTACTGTTTTGCTTCCCTCAGAGCTTCTCCAACATGGCAGCAGTGAAACAGAGAGCACAAATCCAATGCAGGCAGTTTCAGATGGCAGAGGCTCACCCACATGGATACTGTCCCAGTGCTTCTGCAGAATGCTTCAAAGCATCTTTTTCTTATTTTTTTTCCCCTTCTTTTTAACACTTAGCAGATCTTCTGTCTTTGTGCTTCTAGACTATCCTATCATCCGTGGGCTTTTCCTGGAGGGTATCTAACACTTTACATTAGCTTTCATAGCTGTGCATATGGAAATGTAAGAAAAACAGGGAGACATACAGATTTTTATCCCATCTGTATACCCCCAACACCACATTTACCAAATCCCAAACAGTTATGCTCAAGAAGATCTGCTGAAGACAACATAACTGAACAGGTGTTCCTGAAGACAAAGTTTGGCCTGCAAGATAAAGCCTGATTAATTTAGCTATACAGTAACAGGAATGAGAATCCTCTGGTTAGATGAACCTGTAAAATCAGAGGTCAACTAAGATCACACATGTTTCAGCAATTTCTAAGTCGTTATGCCACAGCCACCCACTAGTGACAGGAGAAAGCCACAGCCCATCACTACAGTAGATGAAATATTCCTCCCTAGCACAAAATAGATTAGTGTTTGTTTGCTCAAAAATATAGAATGCAATGGTGCTGAATTTCCTACACCAGACGGATCAACTGCTGGCTATGTACACAAGGCTTGTCTGCAGCCTGGTCCCTGCCATGTCCAAGGAAAACCCAGGAGACAGCCAGTGGAAACATGCAGTTAACAGGGTTCACTCTTGACCACCTTCCTTCTAGAGCAATCCTTAAACTCGGGCAGGAGTCACCTTTCCATGGGCACATAGCACCTCCTTCACATCTGGTAATGGGATGTTCAAGGAAAGATTACTCCTAGCTGTGGCCTACAGCACACGCCAGAGGCATTTTCACAGAAGAGATTTATCTGAGAGCAGGCCCCAGATGTCCGTATCCTTGACTTACAAAGTCCACATGGATGAATTTCTCAGGTCTCAGATGGCTGCCCCACAGGTGTCTAATCTCCCAGTGAAGGTCTGACTATCAGCCTGAGACAGACTACAAAGGCTGGCTTTTCAAGGAGCCAGCAGATCTTCCGCAGAACATCAGACGCGTGTCTGAGAAAGCTAAAATCACTGTACAGAAGAGCATAAAGAGCAACAAGCCATCTTTTCTTCTGCTACTAATGGATAGGAATTATGCTGTGCAGGAAGCTCAGCTAGTGCAGCATATTTAATGGATTCATCCAAGTCCCCAGTGCAGTTTAATGGTGGATATAAGATGGATCCCCTAATGAATCTTTTTGGGCCTGGAAAGACAGCTGAGGTTTTGTGCCTCATATGCAGAAGAGTGTCATGAAATCCTGAAAGCCTCTCTGAGATACTCTGTAAATCCATACTACAGATTCTCATTGGAACTCAGGCAATGAGAATAGCTTTTAATTTATGGACATAGGTGTACTGCTTCTGAATCTCTATATCTAAACTGTATTTGAACTATGGCAATACTGGCTTCATTTCAAGGAGAATTAACTTTTCACCCATTTCTTTTCTTTCCCTGGAATTCTTCATAATAAAGGCATGACACAAGCCCATCAGCTGGTTATACTGACATAATGAATAATAAAATATTGCTCCCTGAATATTGCAAAGGCTTTTTCCTCTTCCCTTCTCATCCTATTTTGTCTTTAGCCATCACACCTAGTCCATTGTTATGTACCCCAATCCCAAGTTCAGTTTCTATTACAAGGACTCATAAGCTTACTTCTGAAGGATGGATCTTTTAATGACAAGTTCTTCATCCAAGTCAGCTTCATTAGCCATGAAGAGCAATCTTTTTCCTGTGTCATCCACTCCAATGAAGTCGCGCTGCTCCACTGAAGTAGAAAATCAAACACAACCATTACATAGCTCTGTCTTCAAGCAGGCTGGAAAGACAAATGGGACCACCAACCACCCCAAAATATGAAAAGACTAACCCAGCAAATCAATGAATTAGCAAAAGTTATCCACAATATTTATTAACTTATTTCCAGCCAGGGTAGCAGATATGTATCATGACATCCAAAACACCGGCCCTGCAAGCTTTATGCATCCCTTTTATGAAGATGCCAACTACAGGTCCTGACATGCAATGCTCCATCTTGAGCTATGCTTTCCTTCTCTTTTAAAGAAATTAATAAAAAAAACCCTGCTACATGAATTTACACAACAACAAACCCAAGGCAAGCAGAGAGTTCTTAAAAACCCAGCTGCTTCTTCCTCATCATAAATCACTCCACATTAGAATTAGGTGGTCTGGAAAGGATTGTGATTTCAGTTAAGACATAACTACTTTGCAACTGATCTCCTATTTCAGATAAATACCGATAGCAATAGAAATCCTAAATCACATACACAAACACACATAAAAGTCTAGATTCTAAGACTCCTACTACTGATGTTTCTGGGTGGATTAACACGGTTTAAGTACCCATTTATAAAACTGCCAACCAAGAGAATACCTAACAAACAGTCACATGAAGTTATTGTGGCAATTCCCACCTCCTGCAATCGGACTATGCATCAACAGTGACTTTGGTTTATTGACATATAAAGCTTTTGTTTTTGAACAGTCTTCCACAACATCTGAATACAGCAGTGGCTGTACTGCACTCTGTAGTGTGAGCCATAACTCTGGTGGCAACCATACGCTCATCTTCGCAGGAACACATGGCTCTACAAGATGCCATGGCACAGTTCTAACAAAAAAACCTCCTCTCTCCCACTAAATACTATTGTTTTGGGCCAAACTGGCAGATACTCAGTCTCCCAAGTTCTAAACTTTCAACAACATTGGAATAACAGCATGATCTATAAATAGTTAAATCCCCAAGATGAACCCCATGCTTTATTTTACTTTTACCTGTTCCTTCAGTTACCATAGCAAGAAACAGTATCAAAATACAATCAAATCTATGCAGCTGTTGAAAGTTCTCCTATTGGCAGTCTTTGATCCAAGTGATCAAGCATACCCTTCCCAGAAATCACATCCCTTCTCAGAAAATAATAATATAGCCAAGTACAAACATAGGCCTGAACATGTAACACTATGACAAGTACAACTAGGATAAAGCTCTCTTGCTCTAAAAAAACAGAAATAAGTCTTGAAAGCAGTGCTGATTCTCACACTTGAGAAGGGAGACAAAGTCTGAGAGTAGGGGCCAATCAACCATCACCACTGCCACCTAAGTGGGGTCTCCTGACAGGCTAGAAACACAACCAAGTTCTGTTCACAGCTGCCCATCTCCTGACTATTCATACAGTAACACAACATCCTACACTGTTATAGGGAAGCTCTATGCAATAAGAACAAGGGAGAAGTAAATCTTGATGAAAACAGGACCAGGTACATGACTGCCACCAAACCGGTTTCTCTTGCTTATGTGGATAGGTAAGATACAGACAGCAAAACCACGTGAGTGTGCTATATTTTTTTTTTGTAGTGGATGCCAGGTCAGTTTTTTCCCAGTACACTGGCAACAAATGGCATTCCTTCTGTAAGTTAGAAAAGACAAAACTTATTACTAAAATCAACTACCCAGAGATACAAGTGTGCTGTTTCAAATCACACTGGCATTACTTAGTGAGGAAAAAAGTAAATGGAAGAATGAATAAATAACTAGTTTACAAAATCCCTGCAAGGAAAATAATAAGAAAAATCCTAAAGCTGCACTGATGGTAACTAAAAAATCGTTTAAAGCATAAAAATGGAATGCGGGATGCGTTTCGCCTCCTCAAAACAGATAAATAAGGATTTGACACAGCTATTACAATTTATTAGTTACCTTAGAAATCACATCCCCAACAATTTTTAAGGGTTCTAATGACCTAAAGAAATCACGACATCACAAGAGAACGGAAGCTGAGCAAATCAGTGATGAGAAATAATTTTCAGTCAGATTTTCTAAAATGCTTTTTAATCAAACATAATTAATTGACACTTGGGAAAAAGACACCTTTGTTAAAGATTCACTATTCCCACCCTTTCAATTAAAGGGAGAGAATTCACACGATGCAGCCTGCAAGACCACCAAGAGGTCTTCTGGCAAACACAGGGAATACCAGTGATGACATGCCTGCTGCTTTCAAGACAAGAAAAACAAGCAGGAAAGACTCTCCATCCCTATCTTTTCTGCTTTTCTTTATACATCAGAAAGGTTCAGACACCCTCTTCCACTCAGTCCCTTGCAGGTCATCTTTAAGCACATGGCTCCATTCTGGGTGTCCAAATTCCTGACACTCTGTTTATTTGGGTTACTACCATTCACTAGCAGCCTACTTTTTCTCTTTTTTTTTACTTATTTTATTACCATTCCTCTTATTGATCAATTAAAAGAGCCAATGAGATGATTTTTGTCAATGTATGAGCCCCTAAATATAAAAACCAATTAACTTCACCCTATAATTTGCACCTGAGGTGTGTCAAATGTTTCAGGAAAGCATCAGCATGAATTTATGGCTGCTTAACACTGCAATCCATGCTCATTTTAAAACTATTCCTTACATTAAAGTTCTTGAATGTTCAATAATATCCCCAAAGCAACAACTTTGTATCAGATTCCACAAAATGTCTTGTTGCTCCTTCTCAAAAATGAGTGAATTTGTAGGAACAGTGAAACAATAAAGCAAGCAACAAATATATTGAGTGACTTGTCAGGACTAGGGATCTATTTTCTAATATCAAGACTGGAGTAGAACAGCGCAAGTACATAGAAGCATGTATGTGCCACGATTTACAACTAATAGTACCACATGCTATTAAAAGCTGCCTAACACGTTCCATATTAGTATCTTGTCTTCAGCTGCTTATAAGCTTCATCAAATTTTAACTGTTTGGGATGAAATTTCCAACACCAGGTGCCTGCCTTAAGAGGAACGCTTGGAAAACTTCAGCAAAACCAGTTCAGCTGCTTCTAAGGTTAAAGAAAAAAAACCCCAACATGTTTAGCCTAAGCTTAAATGCTAAGGTGGCCTGTCTCTTGAAAAGCTGTGCTATTCCAGTTCTTCATCTAAGGTCTTCTGTACCATCAGGTGGTACAAGCAAAGCACACAAGCCACGAGGCTCCACGGCCATGCTGTGATGACTGCTCCAGGGGAAAGAGCTTGATCTGTTGTGTCTTTGCAACTTGTTTTTACAGGAAAATTAAACTCATAAGCTCAAAAGGATAAAAGGAAAAAAAGCATAAAAACAAGGACTCTGCAAGATGGGCTGGGAGAGAGAGAAAGTAGTCTCTGAGAGCTGGTGGAAATTGGGGATGTTCATGAAAAGACCCCAGAGAAAGGAATGAGAAAAGAAGAAAAAAGGTGACTGCGGACAGATAAATGAAGCAGGTTGAAATGAGAAGCAAGAAGTGGAACAGGGATGGGAATGGTAGTGAAGGAAGAGTGTAACATATGAGAAAGAGAGGCTGGACTCCTAACAAGGATCCTTGAAGGAGACAACTAAGCAAAGAGAACAAGAATGGAGGCTGGTGGTGACAAGAAGCCAGCACGGGAAAAGATACAAAGATGAGCTAGGATTATGTTGACAGCAACAGAATGCATTCAGTCAAGTAAGAACAAAAGGCAGGAGGGTCTGGTGCTCCCTAAAATGTACCACCCCTCACCAGGACCTGGAGAACCACCTAAAATTCCTGTCTCAGCACTCCCATACTTTTAGCAAATGATTGGAAAAGGTCTAGTAGGGTTCATGTCTCATCTGAGGCAGCTCATAGAAAACAACTTACTAGTGCTTTCCATGATAGCTTGAGTAGTATTGAGTGTGAAATCTTAGTATCAAGCCTCACAGAAAAACACTGGCGGTGTCAAAACACTTCAAGAGAATGGAATTGTAATGCTTTCAAGTTTGGTCTTCTGCAGATCTGAGAAATCATACACAAATTTTAAAAAGTCATGGAGTAAGAGTTATGCTACGAAGTCAAGCACACAGACATGAAAAACAAGAAAATTAAGAATGCATGTGCAACCTGATGTGTTTATATTTTCAAAGAGTCTTCATGTGATATTGTTTAAACTCACAGACCTCCTTGCCCCCAGCTTGTGTGCTCAAAGCTCATGTATTGGGCAGCTCTATGATATTTAACCACAGACCCATTAGTTTATAACTCATGAATGCTCAACTCTGTGTCTGCAGTAGTGCTCTTGACAAGGTTTTACGTGCCACTAGCACTTAGATTGTCTGTTCAAAACCAAGGAGGTTTAAAGCTGTTTGAGAGTTCGTCCTAAAAGCTTTCAGCTCTACTAACCTTACACTTTGCTCCAGAAAAATCTCCTAATGCAGAGTCTAAGCAGCTTTCTTTTAAAAACACACTTCCTCCACTTTCAGACACACACATAGTCCAACAGTTGGCTTGCATTTCATTCCTCTCTCAAACAGTCTGAAGCTTCACTTTCTTATTTGTATTACTGTAATGCGTCTGAGCTTTAATCATAGACCAGGACCCACTAAGCTGGCAATAATCAAGCCTCAGCAATTTAACAGATATCATTAAAATAAAATGAGAGGTATGGTATGGGAACAACTGTATGGTGTTTAGTACTTTTAGCATAAGTAAAACAGGGATAATAGCCCTGCCCTGCCTTACAGCAGTGTTGTGAGAATAGATACATTAAAGATTACAAGGCACTAACTAAGATATTATGGTAAAAGGGACAAGATACGCATCTAAGCAAGACCTTGAATCAGTGGGAGTTTTGCCTAGCAAAAGGCTCCTGGATGTGATCTCAGAAGAGTAATTCAGTAGATACCATGAGATGAGAGATTTCTAGAAGTATTTGTTACCCAGCTAATACTGGTTCCTACAGTCAGTGGTAAATTCCCACTCATAATCTGGCTGATACTTAGTGCTCTTGAAAAACCTAACGGTTCTGATGCTCATATGTAACAAAAATCTAGGGTTTGATCCAAAACTCACTGAAGTCATCTGGAGCTTTTCCCTTAACTCTTGTGAGCTTTGGATCACAGCCTGCAAGATTACAAGAGTCTAATACTTAATTCTAAAATAGAAAAACCCAAGTCACACCCCTACCAGGGAATCTGAGGAAAAATAGAGTATCTGTAACTTTTTTATTTCTTTCACTCTGAGATTAATAACTAAACATATGTACAAATGGTATCTCTAGAATGTATTAATAAATAAAGGTATTCCTATCTACATACCTGGCTTTTTTTTCCCTTTCTGTCCTGGTACCACTTCTGTGGGTTCATGAGTTTTCTTCATCAGCATGGAGAGAGTAGCATCATGAGTCCGAAAGAGATCCACAACTTTATATAAATCAACATCTGTGATCAAATCGCAGCTCAACACCAAGACATCAGTCTGTCAAGGAAGAAAAGCAAAACAAAACAAACTATTTAGACATACAAGTGACCACATATGGATTAGCATTTGAGGACACAACAACGAATATACCCATGGCTGGTTTTAGATTTTTCTTTAAAATACACAGGGTCTGCCATACTTTGCCACAAATAGTTACTGGTTTTTACCAGTTCACTTGAGTCCTGCTGTTACTGAATTAGTTAGTTGGTTAATGCTTATCCAGCTCTGGACCATAAAGAATATGTGACCATCTAAACTGCTGTCATTGGCTCCTAAAGGAAGGAGCCAGGACACAGAAGCCATGGCTTTCAAGACTGCCACAAAATTCTACAGTATTTACAGCAGCTACTTTTAGTTACATAATGATGTAGAAAAGAAATCTTTCTGAAGGAATCTTTTTTAGCTGACTTTGCATCTGGCTACAAACCACTGGAAAAGATATTTAAACTATGTTATTTTATCTGGAGGAAAAAAAGCAAAGACTATCTAGGATGTAATTGCACTGCCATGGTGGCCTCAGTCTAGAAATACATTTCCTAAAACCAGCAATACCCCATATAAAAAAAATAAAGAGGAAGCTAGGTCCTATTTAATAACAGGCTTGTATTTAATTTTCATCTCAAAGGATTCCAAAGTACCTCATGAAGTATTTAAGAGAACTGCTGCCTATATCACAGAAACATTGCCACATATTGAGCGAGACACAGCAGCTTCATTAACCAAGCACACTACAACATACTCCGATTAAAAACACTTACCTAGGAACAATTTTCTGTATTTCAAGTGGGTTGTGGAACGTACTGCCAAAAATCTACTAGTTGAGCAATTATCTTCATTTAAACTAATCCTAACATAATATTTGTGCAGCATGGCCTACAGAAAAGTAGCAAGCTTCCACTTTATTTTTTGTTAATGATCAACCTTCTAAGCACGTCTCTAGAAGATTGTGTTTCCTTCTTGACATCTACCATTCTCACTTTCTGTGCTACCATTTACTACGGCAAACCTCCCTCAGAGTGTGACACTGCTTCCTACTTTTGTCTTTTAAACAGATACTATTTGATAGGAAGGGCACTAAAAGTAGTTGGTAAAACCCGAGTTAACTCATGGAGGATCAGTAATTCTACTTTTATTTGTGAAAACTATCTTGGTTTAAAGGATATTAATTCAGCATTGACCTTTTATGAGAGAGGTTTATTACGGAAAGGTCTGCATTACAGACTTCATCTAATACTAGGAGATTCCACATTGTAGGCAAGGAACTGATGTCTGGTATTTACATTATTTGACAGGTTCTCCTTCAAATACTGGGCAGTTTCATGTGTTTACCAATAAGTCATTGGAATTCACCCTGTCACAAACTGTTAGAGCTGCTGATTTGGCATGCTGTGCAAAAGGTCAAGCTCTGAGGATTTTACACATTCAAAACCTGACTTGTAGCGCCCTTTCTAGCATACTTTCAATATGTGTATTTTATATTATGGGTTTGCCCAGGAGAAGTGCTTTAATTATCCCTTCTCTAAAACAACATGCACACACACTGGAAAAAAAAACCCAACACAACAACCCACAGCACTGAAGCAAGCTGCCCAGCGCTCTGGAGCAGCCCTGCTCCAACATTCCAATGTGTACAAAGAAAGGAAGAAAAAATACAGCTTGGTAAGGAAGTAAATCTCCCGCTTCATAACTGTAAATAGTGAAGAAACACCTATTAAATATCCTGGAAATTCCTGACAAATTTTCAGATCTTCTGTTCCTATGAAAGCACAAATGAGTTACAATATTTGCAGAAAGACCAAAAGGTCTCCATGACCCATATAAAGTGACCTGTACTTTTCAAACTCAGTTTGTAGAAGGAAGAGATCGCTGGTTTCAAATCTAAATGCATTCACTCCAGTGGTAAAATAACAATAAAAAGAGATAGACACACCAATGGACTTATCTTAACGAACAAGTATTTGGAATTGTAAAACAAACCTTGTAATTATTTCACATTCTACTAAATGCCTTAATCTGTCACTAGAGCGAAAACCCAACAAGCATTTCATAGTCGTGGACAGGCTCCGGGTTTTTTTCTCCTCACTATAGGACAAGCTTTTTGCAAAAACTGAATGCAAGACCCCTGAGGAGCATACGGGAACAGAACCACCAAATGTCTGGTTGCCATCTGTTCTACCCATTTACTCTCCCAATATGTAAATAAACGTCAGTGAGCGCAGGGACCAGTGAAACACACAGTTGCTCTGTAAAGCCCACATTTCTGCCTCTCCTCCTGATGAGCAGAGCAGTGGCCTCAGAAGCACGCTGAGAATACACCATGAAAGGCTCTTTTGGGACTCGACAGCCTCCCCTTTGAAACACCACCCCCCTCATAAATAAAGCCCTCACTGTCTAATGGATGCACTTTTTTTCCAGTGTACAACTCCTGAACGAATAAACTAATGGCTGAAGGAAAAAATAAACTATTCTAGAACCCTAGCAGAAGTGTGTGTTTTTCTTCACGTTTTTAGGGTGGGTGTAGAAGAAAGAAAATAAATGGTAGAGCTTGTGGGTTTTTTACATATATATATATATGCCAAATAAATACAGTGCACCTTTCCCAGTGAGCCACTGATACAAAGAAGTACATATTTACTACACGCACTCATGTGCTAACAAGGGGTATGTGAACATACTTGACTTCATGAATTATGCAAACACCTAAGTACACACACATAGATTTCTTAATGAAATACATGTAACTATGATTACATCAACCCCAAACTATTATACAGCAGATGATAAGAATCAACATGAACTGATTAAAAAAACCCAGCAAGCACACACCCCAAGCAGAACCACTGCAAGGGAAGAAAATGCATGCCCAGATGCACTCTCATTTACCATTACAACCATGCGAAGGACAAGGCAAGGGTCTTAACTCAAGGAGGACCAGCCAATGGATGGGGCATGAAACAAATGCTTGGAATTTCTGGCATTCTCTTGCTTTGCCAAACGTGATAGGGTATTTTGTTTATTACTTTTACGACACAGAGGAGCCCTTGTCACAGACCCTATAGAGCTCTACCACAGAAACTGCTGTACAAGAAAGGGCGAAAGCACCATGAAGCATAATAAAAGAGAACAGCAAATTACTTTGAGTTGGGGAACACAAGCAAATGCTGCCGTGCTACACAGGTACAGGGACAGCAGCTGGCACTTGCTGACAGCACACCTCACATTTTTTACGAGCTTCACAAGAGCCACAGAAAAGACGAAGAGAATGTGATGCTCCTTGAAAGAGTCATCTGGGCCTGAGCAACCCCACTGAACCTCAGATCTGCAGTTCATGCACTCAAGTTCAGCCTTTAGACTCGGCTGCTGATCAGTGAAGAAAGGTCCTGCAGAGATCATCCCACTTACAATCTGAGTTTCGAGGAGATGTTTCTTTGTCCTTACTGCCCATGGATGAAGCCTTAGGTTCCCAGTCTAGCCACTGCTGAACAGTTACGTTCAGTCAAAGTCAAGTTTGGAAACACAGCTCTTAAGGCCTCAAAATCTCCACTCTCCCTTTTTAACACTGACTAACAGCATTTTACCATCAAACGTTTCCAAACTGCAACCTGCTCATATATTATCAGATAAGTTACATACTCAATCTGGATAAATACAACACTAACAGAAAACATCAAGAATTTTATACAAAATAGAGAGGAGAGGAAAGAAAAAAAAACAACTGTAAATAAAAAGCACTCAAACCCAACATGTCAACAATTATATTAAATCCAGCACAATATGGAAAATCTACACAAAAACAAGACCAAAAAGCAGAATGTTTCAAGAACTCAGTTCAAGACAAATGATTTAAAAATAGAAAACATGTTTTCAATGGAACTAATTCATACCACAGATCAAAAGATGGATGCAATTATATGCTGTAATATACTAGCATAAATAAAAAGCCTTGGACTTTCTCACACCCTGGATACAAAGGCAATGTTAAAAACTCTTTTATATTCAGCAATAATTGCTGGATCCCTTCTGTTCAAACAGGAGATATCAAGGTTACCACAGATAGCTGGCAGCAAATAATGAATTTTTAGTACTGTTCACTATGCTTTTTCTATCAAGTACAGACAAGGGCAGGACCTTGTATCCTAAACTGCTGATGGCCCCAAAAACTGCAGACTAGAAAATGAGAAGACATGTGTTGCAAGGAAATCTCTAATTTGAACAAAAACAGCCCCAAGAGAAAGAGGGAAACAAATGTCAGATTGCATTACAAGCAGAAAAGCAGCAAAATATCCATGAGCAGTAGAACCACCTCCTAGCAGAACTGAAAAGAGACAAAACATTGAAGTTGTATGCTAAGTTTCCAATTGCAGGGTATTACAGCTGAGACTTTGACAGGAAAAGAAAAGAAAAAAAAAAAATCAAGGTACTAGGAAGACTTTGTTCCTACACCAGCCTATGCTACACACATGCAGAAACAGAGAACTTTGCATCACTTCCTGCAGTGTCACCATACAACAGGGGAGAGAGGAACAAGTTATAATTACTGCTGGAATTAAGACTGATTTTTATACACAATACCCTGGAACTTCACCCACATGTTGCATTAACAGTGGGGTTTGTGTGTAATGCTTTTATTATTCAGAAGAGTAGAAAGGGAAAGAACAGTTTGGCTGTGGGCAAGCATTCTGATTGCTTGTGAGCATGCTCCAGGCAAAGCCAAAGATACCTCCCAGCAACTGCATTACTCACCACTCTTCAGATCAGAGACTTGCATCCAAGGCTTTAGAGAATCCCTTTTTATCTTAGTCTCCATTAAGAGTCCTCCAATTTCCACACCTGTGACCTCTTTGAAGCTCTATAGCTGTTGCTGTAACTGGAGCAGGGAACCTCATTTATTTTTGATGTCTGTAGGATCTTGTTAGCTACCAACTGAAATGGCCGCCTTTGGCTGGGAATTCCCACTCTGCTTTTGTAATGTCCTTGATGGCAAGATTCAGAAGAAA